GACCTTAGGGATACTGAGAGTTGGAGGAGTAGACTTCCCAAGGAAAAAGCACACCAATTGGCTCTCTAACTCCAAATGGTGAACCCTGAGAACATATGTACAAGAAACATCATACACACTGAAAAGTTTATATACAGGAATATGTATATATACATACATACACATATAATCACAGTTTTATGAAAAACACACATATAAATACATATATATGTGTGCATGTATGTTAAAATAATTAATGAAAAAAGAAGCCATGAATATGAAGGAGAACAAAGAAGAGTAATTGGAAGGATCTGGAGAGAGGGAAGAGATGGGAAGGGAAGAGAGAAATGTAATTATATCATATGAAAAATAAAAGAAATAATAAAAAAACAAAACCAAATAATTCAGGTTGACCAGAAACTTTTTGAAATGTTGAAAAATAAAAAAAATTCAAGGAACACAAACTCTTTGCTGTGTAATCACTGTATTTTCCTTAAATATTTGGTCAATCTCTTTAAGTCATGTGTGTTTACTTATCTGCCATCACACTTCTAAAGCAGATGGGTGTGTTACCTGATGTCTTCAGAACTTTCTTGGTTTTTGTCTTTACGCCACCCTTCTCAGGAAAACAGGGATTGTAAAGTAATTCTGATGATGACTTCAAGGATTTCATTGTTCACCTGATCAAGGATAAAGTAAAGTTGAATAGCACCAAGAGGATAACTGTAGTGAGTAGAAATGTCTGGCTTGAGTATTTTTTTATTAGATCAGTATAAGCACCCTGCCTGTGCTTTGATGTTAATAATAGTTGTTTACTGAAAATATAACATCATACTCATCCAAGGCTGTCAGTCAATTAACAGCTATGCTTATATGCATATGTAATTTTTCTGTTCTTTATAACAACAAAGATGATCAGTAGATAAATGATATTATGAGGAAATATACTGGTCACAGGTTGATGAAGATGTTATACTAATCTTTTGAGGAGATTATAATATTTCAAAATCTAAGGGCTCTCTAGTTTAGTTTATGCAATTTAAGATCAATATTGTCTCCTGCTAAGATTGAACTAATTGTGGTTTTTAGAGCTCAGGTCTTAATATGTTTTGTTATGTTCTTTAGTCAATCTATTTCTATAGGTATTATCAGTGGTATGTAGTTAATTAGTCTAGTTGAATAAATAAATTCTGTAATATACATTTGTTTATGAATAACTGTGCACCTGATTTGTACAATTCACTCTGGTAATTATTGATATCTTATATGATATTCTGTTTTGTTTGCTTCCTTACTGAGGTTTCTCATCATTTTCTTTATAGTTTTAAGCTAAAATTTTAATTATCTGATGTCACAGAAATAATTCTACTGATGTCCAGTGAAATCATTAAGCATTCTGCTAAGAATGGTAGCATTCTATCAGATCATTTGCACTGATATTCAAATGCAACTTCTCACTAGTTTCCAAATTTAACCATCATCTCTATAGTGGAATGTTATGATTGCTAGTGACAAATTCAGACCATTTATTTAAGAAACCACACATTTTTTGTTTTCATATTGCTGTCATGCTTCCTCATTGCTCTCTTATAAGAGAAATTTTCTGATAGAGCATGTGTGTAACAGTCACACCTGATGCTTCTCTTCATGAAGAGTTGCTCTTGGATCATTAGGTTTCATTTGTTCAGCATGTCACTTACATTTCCCTTAGATTTCTCTTTACATTTATGTATTTCTATTCAGGTAAGTTTCAAAGGGAATGTCAAGTTCTACAAAGGAAGTAAAATTCTTCATACTACTAATTCATAATCTTTCTTTCTTTACAGGGTACTTCGGAGGACACATTGAATAAAATGGAAGGAGGAAATCAGTCTGTGGTGTCAGAATTTATACTTTGGGGACTTGCCCACTCAAAGAATCTTCAGATCTTACTCTTTGTGATGTTTTTGATACTTTATATGCTCATTGTGTCTGGAAATATTGTCATCCTTGTTTTAATCACCACTGACCGCCATCTCCACTCTCCCATGTACTTCTTGTTGGCCAACTTGTCCTTTGTTGATATGTGTCTTTCCTCAAACACTACTCCTAAGATGATATCTGACTTTCTCAGGGAAAGCAAGACCATTTCCTTTGCAGGTTGCATGTCTCAGGTCTTCTTTGCCCATTGCATTGGTGCCGGAGAGATGGTGTTGTTGGTGGTAATGGCTTATGACCGCTATGTGGCCATCTGCAAACCACTCCACTACTTTACCATTATGAACCTGAGAAGATGCACTGGGCTGGTGTTGACTTCCTGGATCACTGGTTGTATACATGGTATAAGTTACATGGTAGTGGTTGTGCAGTTGCCTTTTTGTGGCCCCAAAGAAATTGATAGTTTCTTCTGTGACATG